GGTACAAGTCATACAAGTACATGTACATCGAACGGTATCCTCTAGGATGATAGCCAAGACGGTCCCAGTCATCGGTGCCCAAGACCATGTTGTATATGTACGTCTATCGGGAAGAATGCCCCTGACCAGATGCGGCCGACCAACCGACATCCCTTCAACCTTTGCGGCCAACCAAGTGCACTTGACTACATGTTCGTGGCATTCTAGTCACATACAACACATGTACATGTAGTAGTTACCGCGAGGGTTTGTTTCCTCGTCCTTGGCCAAGAGCTCAACAGTTCTCCTCATAGTCAAAATACGTACATGTACATTGTATATACACTTTGCGCTCCTTTTTAGGAATGTATCTTCACCGACCCCATGCGGGCTTGCTAGTTTTCAGGCAGCGTTACTATCCAGATGCATTTCTCGGTTCTTATTATTTTCAAGGCTAGAAGTTCGCGGGCTCCATGCTAGGCATATGCGGATAATGCCGGCAGAAAAATAATTGGCAGAATTCGGTACTTTTTCTGGTAAGTTTCATGCATGTTTGGTATGTGGATAAAGAATTGGAGCAGAATTCGAGGAATTGCCCACCATAAGGTTTGTATGGTTTTGCCAATTTCACTGCTTTTCGAGCAGAATCTGCCACCTTTTCGAGCATTATCCGCACACCCCTACTCCATGCTAGCTCTTGTACCCAGAGGCTGAGGCTATGTGTAGCAGTCGTGGCTATCGCACAATAATAATGATCTTGGATGCACTTGACAAAACCGTAAGAGAACCGTTCTAAGTATCCTGGTACATGTAGTGGTAGTGGTACATGTCATGGTGATGCACACTCGACCACCAAGCTGCGCTCTTTCTACTGTGTACAATCAATGTTCATGACATTGTACAGTATCAAGTGGACATTTGGAAAGGCAACACGCTACTAGTAGTAGACCTACGTGCCCGTGCGTCCTTTCTCTTGGAGCGGGTTGTGATAGCGCCGTCCAACTGCATGCATAGTTAATTCATGTAATTACCGGTACGTAGTTTGATGAGCTACTCTCGAACTAAACACATCCCCTGGGCCATCAGCTGATAATGAACGTGATCATGATAATAATAATATTTTCGCCTCTCTTGTCTCGTGCCAATCTGGGGACGTACCGCGAACTGTCCCCAGTCAGTGCAGATCTACGGGTGCCAAGCCACTCACACTCTGTCTGAATCTAGTAGTCCGGGAGCTGAAATCTGTAGGATGCTTTTTATTTTCGGGGTATGCCACTTCAGAGGGAGGACTTGAAACTTCGCACAGAGGTAGGCAAGGGTCTCTAGAGGACGATTTGAGAACTTGGCCGTCCCGAAGCTGTGCAGCAATGCCGGTGCAAGGAGGTTTGTTCGCTCGTCGAACACTATTTCGTTGCCGTGATTTCACAGTTTTTGCGCCATTCAGCGCTTGAAAAATGGGGAAATCAGCGGGTTTCGCTGACGTAACCAGACATTTTCATGCGAATGACTCAATTGTGCTAGATTTTCAAGAGAAACACAAAGAAACACGAAGCGAAACGCAAAGTCACACCGTCGATGAAGCATTTTTCATTCTGTTTGTATAATTGTGTCGTTCTGAGTTCTGAAGACAAACATACAGTAGCTGGTTCGTCGTCGGAGGACATGACTGGTGTTCCTGAGATTGTCGTGCGTAACGGCTAAATGACTTGCCACTTGACCCTGATGTCGACAGGCAGGTCTCGTAGGAACTGTCCGTCTCCATCGAGGTGACTCTTGATTGTTTTTACCAATAGTGTTTTGTAGATTGATCCTCACTACAAACAAGAGTACTCCTGCTACAAACGATTTCATGCTAGTCAATGAGCGGACTGACAACGTGTGTTAAAGGTGGTAAGGTACACACCATGGCAGCTGCCTTGAACGGAATCTTTGATTATACCAGTGAACGTAGAAATGCATGACTTATCTTGAATAACGTCTCTTTGAATCATTGTTTTGTTGAAGTTTCGGATGCTGCACAATGACATGCGCGTACGTGGAAGCATTCACATTGTAGAAGATCATGGGATGATTATTTCCCTACTTCACTCAGTCCTTTGTGTGGTAAATTGAGTAGTAGTAGACGTAGTATATTAATTTTAGGAATTTCCGCAAACGCAATCAGTAAATGTGGCGGTAACATGTAGAATATAATCATTTTAAAACTACAGCTACGGTGCATCATATTTATGTGAACAAAGGCTGAATGCAGATATGTAAACAGTGTCTTGGACGCGATATGCATCGGCACCGCATACATCCAGGCAAGACGATGTAGCGCAATATCTGTGTTGAACGGTTTTTGATCCCTTCATCATGGAGAACAGTATCCATTCTTCATCCGGTTTGCGATCCTCTGCTCTGTGCTGCCAACGACGTCCACTTGTTGCTCACATGTGTAGTGCTGCTGAGCGGGTTGCAACATTCGGACATGCATCGGCGAGTACCGTAAAAGCCCGTAATAAGGCCCTGGGCGGAAGCGTTAGCGACGGTCCAGAACATGGGCGCTAATGATTGGGTTGTCACATTCGGACATGCACCAGCAAGTATAGTACAGGGTTGGGGTGACCCGTTGCACTAGAAGCATCCAGTGCTGTAACCTTTGCGATGTTTGCAGCTATGCAGAGCAGTTATCTCCTGGGTTCCGACTGCTGCTCCGTGGAGATGATAGTAGGGCACTAGACAGCGGCTTTGTAAATTGCCATTCTGGAATGCTACCTCAGAGCAGCCGATGATGGTGACGTTCTTGCACAGCATGTTGTTGGTACCACAATCACAGCAAGTTCACTGGTGATGATTAACTTCTGGCCGCGTGTTGCATGTTTCTGAGATTCGTAGATAATGACGCGCGCGTGCATGAGTGTGTGTGTTTATATGTATGTATGCATGTGAGCATCGGCATGTGCGCATCCATGTGTGTGTGTGCGGGCGCGCGCGTGTGTCGTGCACATGTACACGTGTATGAGCGTGTGTGTGTGAGCATTTGCATGTGCGCATCCACCTGTGTGTGCGCGCACGCGTGTGTCGTGCACATGTACATGTGTATGCGTGTATGTGTGTGTGTGAGCATTTGCATGTGCGCATCCACCTGTGTGTATGTGCGTGCAAGCGCGCACGCGTGTGTGTGCGTGCACATGTACACGTGTATGCGTGTGTGTGTGTGTGTGAGCATTGGCATGTGCGCATCCACCTGTGTGTATGTGCGCACGCGTGTGTGTTGAATGCGTGCATGTTCGCACACATGTATGTGTGTGTGTGCGAACAGAGAGTCACATGTGTGTGTGTGTGTGTGTGTGTGTGTGTGTGTGTGTGCGTGTGTGTGCACTCATGCACACATGTGAGTACACGCTTGCGCGCGTGTGTGGGCGTGCGCGCGTGTACACAATCTCGCACACATGCATGTGCGCGCATCCACCTGTGTGTGCACGCGTGCGTGTGTCGTGCACATATACATGTACATGTGTATGCGTGTATGTGTGTGTGAGCATTTGCATGTGCGCATCCACCTGTGTGTATGTGCGTGCAAGCGCGCACGAGTGTGTGTGCGTGCAAGCGCGCACGCGTGTGTGTGCGTGCACATGTACACGTGTATGCGTGTGTGTGTGTGAGCATTGGCATGTGCGCATCCACCTGTGTGTATGTGCGCACGCGTGTGTGATGAATGCGCGCATGTTCGCACACATGTATGTGTGTGTGTGTGTGTGCGAACAGAGAGTCACATGTGTGTGCGTGTGTGTGCACTCATGCACACTCGCACACATGTGAGTACACGCTTGCAAGCGTGTGTGGGCGTGCGCGCGTGTACACAAGCTCGCACACATGTAGTACGTGCGCGCATGTATGTTCTATCTTGTGATGTTGCCTATCCCATGCTCTCCTTTGGTGCTGCCACGTAGACGTCTGTCGTAGTTCCTGTCAGAAGTGCATGTGGAACTGGCAGTGATTGTCATTCTACCTTTGTTTCAAACAACGTCTCGTTTTCGAGTTACATGATCTCTCACAGGATCCACAAAGTATTTTGTGCAAAAGCAGCTAGGCTCACCTGAACCAGTGAAGAACGAGTACCGGAACAAACAAGCTGGCAAACTGCAACGGAGTTGACACCACCAGCAGATAAATAGGCCAGGCAGAGTACCGACATGGGTGATGATGATCTTGCACGTCCGGTGACTGGTCACTGGTGCATACGGCTGTGGCACTGGCAGTCAGGACTCAGGGACGCGGAGGCCGACTTGTCAGCAAGCAACATCTCGCCTACTCTGCCGGAATCTTCGCTCGACTCGACCTCAGTCAGACCTGGAAATATACTTTTGAAACTTTGCTTGCACGCGTTGCAGAATTGCCGGAGTAGGCGCGAGTATTATTGTGCACTATTGCTGGTACACACTCTATGTTGCGCTTTTGTCCAGAAGCGCCATGCTTCGTGACTAGTGGACCTGACGATGGCAATACTATTCTCACATTCAAAGTCAAAATCGTAATGAAAATGTATGTCACGCTTTGAGAAAGTAAGCTTGCAGCGTCGTCATCTTCTGGACAGGCGCATAGTCACTGATTTGGAATTTTGAGCGTGCGCACCTACTTCTCAAACCGAGAAGTCGGCTGAGAACGAAAAACATTTGCGCCTAAATGCTTGACAATTGTGAATTTGATCGTCGAACAAAATGCGTCCTCGCGATGTCCGTGCACAGCTTTGGGATGGCCAAGAACTCGAAAGCCCTTCTCTGATAGACCCATAACCCATTGCTGAAGAGATCTTGTACTCCATCTCGCCCGACCTGGAGCGCCACTTTTTTGAAGGTCGGCTCCCTGACTATAGCACGTGTTGCTACTTCCGCGCTGAAGCAGGGTGTACCGTGTACATGGTGTAGGTGTACGCGTGAGGCCCCACTACTGGCACTAGTGTTAGTGTTACTCTACAGTTCAGTGATCAGTCGATGCCAATCTGATCAGCCATCGGACGCTTCTTTCGTGTGTTCTGCTATTGTCGGCCATCTGTGTTTCGTGTCCAGTGAAGTGCGCTGTTTCGTGAAAACGCGTTTGTTGTGGGCCCTTTCGAGTCACCGCGCGCAGCACTACTTGTAGCCACAATAGGCTGAATTGAGAGTTGCCCTTCGCATCCAGCGCCAGCTGAAAATTTGGAGAGCGACCCAGAAATATTATTTCCGAGTTCAGAGCCGGACTTCCGGACGTTGAGTGAAAGAAGCGAAGACAACTAACACAGTTTTGGCAGGTGAGGTTATGTTGTGTGTGTGTTTTTAGTTGGCTGAAGTGTGTTGTATTTTGGCTATTCGTTCGCCTTGCGGGCGACATCCTCTATAGTCCTGTAGTAAGGTCGATGAAAAACTGAAGCAGGTGTTGGAAACTCAATGAGCTGCACTTGTGTTCGTGTAGAGGAACACGAACCAGCACACTTGAAAGCACTAGTCTTGAGCGATGTTGTACAGTTCGCTGCAAACGCGCACTACACTGGCGTTTCTGCTGGATTCCTGTCGGGCTGGGGACGGAGCAAACATTTGGTGGGCGTCCCCGTTGTCGCTAGGTTTTGGCTGGATCAGTGACAGGTCGTGGCAATCGTGTGATTCAATCCCCCCAGACTAGAGTTGAAAGATTGTTGCAGGCAATACACATTTTTGTTGCCCAGCAAATCAGGAAGGCATAAGGATAGGGAATCCCCTGTTTAGGCTATGACTATGTGTAACACAAGGTCAATAGCCCATCCCGTACTGGTAGTCAGTCAGGAAAGCTGTGTTATGCCCTAGGTTAACAGGAACATTCGCTAGTAAACCTAGTGTTGCGATCCCCAAATAGGAAAAAAAAGGATGGACAGTGTCTGACATTTCCCAACCTTCTTCATCACACCCAGTCAAAGCAGAATGTTGGGACAGCCATAGTTGCTTACCCTAGGGTCAGAGAGCATGTTACGTCTTTGCCATAGAAGATGACAAATGAACGTTGGTCTTTGTAATAACGTTATTGGCCTGCACAGGAGGCCGGTTGGCCTAATTTGTATTTTGAAGTTTGAAAAGAAATGACTTGAGGTGGCGTTGTGATCGAGATGACAGTAACGTGGCATGTTATAAAATAGCCCGGGAAGGCATGCTACAGTGCATTCACCTGCATATTATACTGTGCATATTGTACTGTGCTTTCGTGTTCCTGGTTGAGAACTCCAAGTACAATGTATATCTATGGGTGTGTTTAGTACACATTCTAGTTATACACACATACGTGAACTTGCAACAAGTGCTGGCAAGTGTTGGCTGGGTTCTAGAACAAGACAAAACGAAGTTCATGAACGGTCTAATCGTAGTGCATACACATTGTGATGGAACACAATCTTACTCCCAGTGACAACTACTTACTTACAAGTACTTGAACCAGGTCTTGTGTGGCGTTGGGGTGAATTCGTGGTGCGATCTCATTTCGGAATAGCAGCATGCAATATGTTGAAATGGGGTTTTCCACCCACAGGGTGCGGTTGGGTTTCCCCTGAAGACAGGTTAGCATGCTGCATGGGTGACCTTGGTACCATCACTGCATCAGGGCGTTGATTTCGGCATGTATGCGTATGCGTATAGTATCAAGGTGACCGCAAGTTAGTTACCTTGAAGTATAGAGAAAATGTATCCTGCACTTTTCGCAAGTGATTAGTCTCTTCTGGTCCCTTCGCAGAAGATCTCGAGGATATCAGAAGTGGTATCCGATTGAAGATGAGTCTGGCAGAATGCTCTCTGAAAATATGATGGTTCCATATAGATATTATGAAAGAGGTCCATATACTTCGTGCAGGTTTGTGAACTCTGCTTTTTGAATGTTTGACAAGCTTCTGGTCTAATGTCGAAATGATGATGCAGCCACCTGGTACCAACTACCGGTAACTTAGTAGTGGTCGAGACTAGTGTAGTGGTGGAGGCCAGGGTCAGAGCATGGACAGGATGAACTCTGTGACCAGTGCAAGGCTCTTGAGATGGTACTCAGCGCAGTTGAGATCAGTTTTGTCAGTTTCTGGTCTTTAAGTTAACCATGACCATTATACCCAGTCCCCACTGGCCTGTAGTGGTGGTAGCTGCCGGAGTCCCTAATCAACTGGCATGGTGGCCTTGCCAAGCTGTTGGAGAATCTTGAGAGCCAGATTCACTTTATAGCACAGATTGCGTTGTGAGTGTTGGTGCGAGTGTCAGTGTGAGTGTTAGCCTGAGTGGCAACAAACACATTTTTCTTGAGTAGCTCCTAGTCTTTCCTGCATGCCAGGCTCTTGGAGAAAAGAGGGTGAGCTGTTTCTGGTGCTCCCAATTGCTCTTGATGTTCCCCTGGACTGGCTACCACTGTGCTGATATCCACAGCATGGATACCACCCAGGGCACAGAGTTAGGAGGACAGGTGCAATGTTATGGTGAAGGATCCTAAGTGGCATTCGAATTCCATAATCACGGATGTCACACACACACACACACACACACACCAGTAGTATAACAGTGCAATGGGAGATGTGTTAGGTGAAGGTGTGTATGATCAGGGCCGACACCACTGGTATAGCGCCCGGGACGCGACCCATGTTCATACCCGTCTCCACCAATTCCAGATTTCATACCACAGGGGGACCCCTGGGGATCTGGCTCCTGGTCTGGTAATACAGTATTGTATTAGAAGGGCTACAGAGTCTTCACGTGCGAACTTTTACATGCAAAGGGTATCAATGATAGCGCACCTTTGTACCAGGGGCATAGCCCGGGGTTCATTCGCAGTGGCTCAGTCCTGGCTATTTAGATACTAGTACTGCATGCCCGGGTATCAACTTTCACTAGTACAGTACTGTTTTGTAACAGGATTGGTGGGACCCCCCCCCCTCCCCCCCCCCCCCCAAAGCTGGGCCATGATGCAGTTGGCCTGCTCCCACCACGCACACGTACCTAGCGCTGGTTTTCTTTGAACATCATTCCATGTAAAGCACAAAGCACTGAACTGCAACAATGAACATTCCTAATCGTTCAGTGAGCCGTGCCCCCCCCCCACCCTTGATTGAGATGGTGCACACGCAAATGCTCTGTTGTTGACGTTGGTTTTGTTTCCATGTGAATCACGTGAACCAGGCGGAGTGGTTCATATGAAGCATCCCCGTGAGAAAATTGGGACCCCGAACACGCAAAGTGCGCAAATCCTAAAGAGTACGTCTTCTTCCTACCGTGTGTTATGACTGTTTTGTTGATACCGTTACGTGTTGGATACTCGTTTAGTCACGACTTTCTGTGGTGGTCACGTAAAAAGGTACTGGAGACTGGAGACCCTTAGTAGGGCTTCACTGTACTGGCTTATCAGCTCCATGTGCATAGTAAACTCAACGCAAAGAGAAATTTAAGGATTGCAGTAAACAGAAGCAGCTAAAGCGTCATTTCGCGGAGGTTTTATTCAGGTGTCACGAACAAATTCTAGTGAAAGTGGTGCGGATGGACAAAGAGAAACAATGGCTCAAGAACGCTACATTGTACGCAACATCCCGACATTAGAAACATTTCTACAGGTCGACATTCAGTAAATCTAACAGAGTCCGTGTAAAACCTTTGTGAAATGACGCTTAAGCTTGTGCTGTTTATTGCAGTCCTTAAACTTTTGTCACCTCGCCGCCTTTTCAAAGAGAATTTTTTCGGCTTGGAACCCTGTCCTTCAACAGTTTGAAAACACTCAGAATGTCGTCTGTTAGGCAACCATGCTGTGCAATACAAACTTGGTATGAAATCTTTGAGGTCATGCAGCGAACGGAATTTGTTACTACGACGTTCAGCTGTCGTCCTTTTTCTTGGCACCCCATTGTCCAGAACAGTCTGCTGTGGCAAGCCATTGAATATTAATTGCATTGCTGGTATGTTTGAGGATGGGAAATCAAATTATTGATCACAAGATGAATAATCGGCCAGGGCGCACCAGTGGCGTTTGATTAACCGTAGTTATCAAGCCATTAACACATCAGCTGTCGTTTCCGAAGACAATGTACAACCTTTCTTCTGGTATAATTTATATTATTATTATTTTATTGTCTTTTATGAAATTCCAGTAAGGGTAGGTGAGGATTATGTCCACGTGTATGCCATGCGGGCTGTGCCGAGGGCAGTGATGATATCTAGGATGAAATTCGGAAATGGGCAGGTTTATTAATGGAGTACATAGTTTGTTACTAATTCTAAACAGTCTCTTTGGCATTATACCGTGATGTACTGTAGTATCATTTCTCAGCTTTTGAAGATGTACCATTATGATTTCAGCTGTCAGGCGGTGCAATACGTGGGTGGTCTGGTGCAGAGGCGTGGGCATGATAGTAGGGGTGAAAGTCCGAACACATTGACACACCATCATAGAATACCTCAGCTTTAGTCCATGAGCTGTATTTTGTCGGATGTGCTCCATTATGCCTGTGCTTCTGCACTATTAGTATTACTCAGTTGAAACCTGTCACCAGTATATGCACAGTACAGGGATGGGAAGGCAGATGTAGTCTGTCAGGTGGATATCGGTAACAACTGTATGAGCTGTGGCCGCATCACTTCCTTGGTTGCAGTACAAGGTGCTAATGGCCAATGATTTGGCGGAATACGAGCAGGAAGCGATTGTGCATGAAGAATGCTTTCGTCCCAGGCTGCCATCACTTGCAAGTTCTCCAACATGGCTGTTTCCCATCGCAATGACCGCAATGGCCTGGACTCCACATGGTCCACCAGGAAACAAAGCTAGGGATTGAAGCAGGGTGAATTGAAACATTTTTAGAAGTTCGTGTCGCTGCCATTCAGCAGTTTTGCAGCGCTCTATTGAAGAGAACAAACTCTCTCTTTATAAGGAAGAAGAAAGTGGAGCAGAGGAAATGTTGGATATGGAACTGCCTGTGCAGGACACGGTTTCCTGCTTGAAAGCACAATCATGGAAAAACGTACAACCCCTTCCAAAGGCGAACGAATAGGAGCAAACCGCTATTCAGTATATCTTTTATAGCCTACCCCCAGCACGGCGATGTGTGTAAAAAGAGTGACTTCAAGCGACAATGTCCAGTGGAGTCACACCCACAACCTGCATGCTGGCTTTGGTATTTTGTGAGCAAATTGGAGGGAGGTCAACAACTTGTACAATCAATCATAATCGCCACAGTACACATGTGCATGGGAAAGAATTTGGCAAGCAACATGGAATCCTTTAGGCTACACTGTAGTACTGGGCAACTGGGCAATCCTGACTGGTGTTGCTATGGTAGTGCTGGCCTTGCGAGAAAATTTGCTTGAGACATGTGGACTGGTTGGCAGGCTGGTAAATTGTAGCATATACAGTGACGTGTTGAACATTGTGAAGACAGAGATCCATGTGTAAATAGGGGTATGGCACCCATTCAGGAAATTGAGGTTGCCATGGTAGTACAAGTAGGTTGTTGTTTAGTCTGCGCTAAGTGCACATCATGCGGAAGACCAAAGATCACTCTTACCGAGATTACCTAGTACCAGTTCAACATTTCTATTGGAATAGGTTACTGTGCAGCAACTTATTCTCTACTGTTTATGCCTGTCATCATTATTCGTCTGCCATCAGTACATCAAAACTCTGCACCTTAATGGCCCACCATTCAGCTTGGACTAACACGCTGGCACCTGACAAGAATAAATGGCGTGTCGGACCCAGAAGCTGTCATTTTACTGAACCTCATATGGAGACTCCATCGGCATCCATGTATGCAGGCACAAGCCCTCACCAGATGATTGTTCTGAATTAGGAGAAAATGCACATGCACCATGCCCCGCTCACTTCTAAGGTGACGATCCAAACCAGTTCTGGAGTGCCGTATGGCAGGGTTTCTCATGAGCATGAAACAGGTGGAAAGTTCCTATATAGAGCTAACGTTTAGTGTTTATATTCCGTTTCTCTGTGTTTTTGACTACAGTTCCACATAGTCTTGAGAAGATCAGGAGTAGTAGTGCCTGGAAAGCTGCCACTCTCGCAACCCCAGTCACTCGTTGATCACCTAGAGCAGCAGTACAAGTATATGGCAATGGCACACGCTACTGCCACCAGCGCCTCATCATCATCATCCTCGGCGTCATCATCGTCCGGTGGGACCATGAACAAAAGCAAACTTTCACTGGACCTATCCACCACAGTTGGTAAGTAAACCGAAGCAGGCTAGTATTGGACCTGTTTACCACACACTGTTTGGAAGTCAACAAAAGCAAGCTTGTATTGGACCTATTCACCACAGTTGGGAAGTGAACTCGCCGATACCTACACCTTAGAGAACCACTGGGTTTCTCAAAACCGGCATTAAAGAATAACGGTGTAAAGAAGAGCAATCTGCAGAAGCGTTGTTCATAATACATATAGAGCTTTTCTTGGTGTCTGAATGACAAGCATTCAGAAACCCGTCTTTTTCTTTTCCACTCTGCGCAGTCCCAGGATTTGAAGTTAGAGGCCCTCGGAGACCAGCCTCACTATTTGGCGGATGTTTGGGATTGCATGCAGTATCTGTTTGAGCTGGATTTTTTGGTATATGCTCAGCATAGTGCATGGGTGTACAGTGCACCGTACTTTCCGGAGTATAAGCCGCACTTTGAACACTCAAAACTAACCCAAAGGGGGGGGGGGGGGGTACAGCTTATACTCCGATAATCAAATTTACGGTGATAAATAGGATGGATGTCTGTATTTCGTGGCAAAAACTGGGGGCCGTGCTCTGGATTATACAGTGTGTGCATCCTTAATCCCCGGCACCGCCACAGAAAAGGTATCATTCGCCTTTGTGCTGGTGGATGTAAGTAGGCACAGGGTTGGAAAAGGGAAAGACAGTGCCACCCCCCCCCCCCTCCCCCCCGGTACGGTTGTGGCATTGCTATGGTTACCTATCAAGCATGTCAACTGAATGGTACATGGTAGTGGCAGGCAACGAGGAGAAGAGGATGAAGAATGTGTTTTTACTCCGAGTTTCACGCACTAGGCAATCATCAGACGACACTGTGTCTTCTTGTTGGAAGTAGCTCTGCTATTCGGCATTGAGCACTCTATTGGACGGCCCGGAACCTCTCTGTTTTGTTAGTGGCATGCATTGAGTTGGAGGGAAAGGGTTGTGATTACAGTGGAACTCTGAAAAGGTGTACCTCCTTGGCCTCAAGTGACAGAGAAACGTACCGAGGCTCCGTCACACGTGTACTTCTCACCCCGCCGATTCCAGCACCGTGTAATATTCAAAATAATTTCCTGGGTTTACAGAGCGTGGAGCACCCAGCACTCTGTGACTGGCATTGCTGTTCTGCCGTTGCAAGACCAAGCACTGGCAAGCAACAAGTCATAATCCAGTCAACTCATGGCTTGAGTATTGTCAATCGTGCTTTGCTGGAACATGGTCAACATGCTGTACTGTAATTCCGTGCATATAAAGGTAACAGACCCACCAGGTTGTACCTGGATATAAGCCCGGCATTGGCTAATAAACAGACGCAAGTATAGGCTTGTCAAGAAGAACGTTTCACAATACATGACTGTACTAGTATGGACCCTTGTTACCATGGTAAAAGCAGGTCAGTGCAGTTTACCAGTGCTGTACAGTAGACCCAGTATGTACGCGCTACAATGTGAGTTTTCGTCGGCGGGGAAGCGTACCCCATAGAAAAGGGACTGGTATGTAGAGTTGCACACTGATGGGGAATGTGATAATGTCCTGTGAAGAGTCTGAAAAAGAGGGAGTTACGGTTTTAAGCGAGTCCAGCACTTCAAGGGACAGGCCGAGTGCCGTGCTATACACAATTTGTACTTCTACAATTACACATGACCCGCATACCATGGAGTCGTTCAATCAGTGTTCTAGAGCAGCCATGATCATCGGCAAATTACATTGCTTTCAAAAGGACGGTGATGAGCAGGGGCGTAGGACACGCTGTGGTCACTACGGTATTGACCGCACCACTTTTGCCCGGGGTACTCCCTGAATCAACAAAATGCACTGATTAATAATAATAACGAGAGAGCTTGGAAGCTCTGGGCCCAACGCTATGCTTTTTTGCCTTGATGACCTAGGCAAAAATTAATTTTTCATTTCTCCTTTTTTTGTTCAAGACATAACCTGGGATTCGAACCCACACTATCGCCCTGCATGCATCCCCCTATACACTTTGCATACATACTAATTCTTCCAAGTTGCTTCACGTTATGATCTTGCATTTGAAAGCCCTATTTGAATATCGTGGCCAGCTGTTTGTGGCCGGCCAGCCGTCTTTGATGGTATGGTACGGTACGGGACAGATACGGTCGAGGGTAATACGACACCGTCTACCGACCTAGGCAAAAAAAAAAGCATAGGGATCTTATAAATTTTTCAATTCTCCTATTTTTTCAGGCATAACCTGGGATTCGAACCGCGCTATTGCCCTACATGCATTCCCCAATACACTTCGCATTCATACTCATTCTTCCAAGTTGCTTCACGTTGTGATCTTGCGTTTGAAAGCCCTATTTGAATATTGCGGCCAGCTGTATGTGGCCAGCTGTGTTTGATGGTACGGTACGGTACGGTACAGATACGGGATAGCGCCAGGCGTGACACAAACACACAAATACCAAATTAAAGCTGTGTGGACCCTGGCCAGCGCCAGACGTTACTGAAGTAACGTCCTCTGCATAGCTACGGGAATAATAATAATAATAATAATAATAATAATAATAATACCACAGCACGCGTAATAATATAATTATGTGAGTATAATTACACGTTCCAATTCTGTCCTATCTCCTATGATCAAATTCCATTATCAAGATAATTATTAATACGGTGCACTGATGATGACCTGTGACGCCAGATCATGGATTGTCGGCCAGATTTCTCCATGTAGGCTTGTCCAGAGCGATGGCCCTCACATTCTCCAGCTGATTGCTGTGCTTCAAGTCGATGTTCCTTCTCTGTAAGTCGCTTGTGATGCGCGTCGCAATGGATGTCCTTGGACGTCCACGCCCAGCCTTGGCATCTCCTGCAAAATAGCCCATCAGCGCGATCCATGGCGGCGCATCTCTGTCCATACGGAGAATATGGCTGGTTAGCTGCCATCTTCTCCTGCCCACGATGTCAGATAGTGGTTCCGTGTTGCACCTCTCATACAGCTCAGTATTTTATATCCTGGCTGGGTAGACTATGCCAATGAGCCGTCGGAGCTGCTTCCGGTGGAATACGTTAAGTGATTCTGCTTGTGCCACCGTGAGCCCCCATGCGCCGCAGTTATACAAAAGAACGGGCAGAACCAGGGCATTATACAGTCGGATGCGCCTCTGCTCACTGACCTTCCCACGCCTCAGCCAGAGGCTATACATCCTACCATATGCACTCGAAGCGAGGTCTTTCCTCTGCTCCAAGTCCTCGCTGTCGCCAATGAGGGACCCTGGCTGCCTGCTGGACCGCCAGGACTCTGAAGTTGATGTCAGATGCAAGAATTCGGTCTTGGTCTCGTTTACTGTAAGGGACCAATCCCCGAGTTCTGCGCTAATGATGGGGAGGCTTCGCTTCAACCACTCCTCACTGGTTGAGTACAATGTCACATCATCGGCGTAACCTGTTTCTCCGGGTATGTGACGGTCGGCGAAAGGGGCGTTAGGGAAGGTTTGCTCTCACTTGGCGCAGTGCTTCCTCCAGGTAACAAATAAAAAAGAACAGGGCTCAGGCCATCTCCCTGGGGGGGGGGGGGGGGGGGGGCGATGGTGCTGAGAAGCGGATTGGCTGTTGCCTTTCCTACTTTCACTGATATCTGTGTGTGGAACAGTAGGTGCTGGATCATGCGCACTTCATCGGGGCCAGTCACTGATGCCATGACGTCTAACAGTTCGGTGCGATCGATCGTGTCGAACGCACAGGACATGTCAATCCCCAGCATGTGGCATTCCCAGTTGTATCGATTCGCCTTGGCCGCAATCCAGCGCTGTGTCCATACCACATCTGTTGTACTTCGGCCTTGTCTGAAGCCAGATTGAGTTGGACCGACATAACGAGCAATGTCCTTTGCGATTCGGCAGAGCACCACAAGGGAGAAAACTTTTCGGATGGTGTTCAGGAGGACAATGGGACGCAGGCTAGTCACGGGTCCTCTAGGTTTTTTTGGTTTTTGTAAAGGAATCAGTGTGCCAAGTCCGATGAACGATGACATGTCAGCACCCTCTGCTACGCTTTGGTTGATGATGTCTGCCGCTACGATGGATAGTTGTGATGTTCCATACTTCAGTAATTCTCCAGGAACTTTGTCCGGCCCACAAGCCTTTCCGTTTTTGAGTCGTTTCATCGCTGTTTCCACCTCCACTGGAGACACTGCCACACTTAGCCGGTGAGGGACTGGCTTCTGGATAGCAGCTGATTGATCTCTACAGAATAAATCCTTGAAGTGCTCCGTGACGCGCTCTGCCTTTTGCTTATCTGAAGTCAAAATGTGGCCATCAGCAGATGCACTGATTTGGGCTCTAAAATTTGACAATCTTCAGAGGAGCCACCCCAACCCCCCAAGTAAATTGTGCTTGAGGTGGCTGACCATACCACCCTAGAATACCGAATTCCGACGCCCCTGATGTGACAATAATATTATGGCAAGACCTCCGATCACAACTGCTAGGAACCAGGGAGTAATCGCTGCTATGAACAATATTTTATCCTCCCCTGGAAATATTGTTGCCAATAGAAGGTCGTTCCTTTGGGGGGGGGGGCATGGAATGCGTGGTGTCGAAAGTTGGGACTTCTGGTGGTAGTGAGGGGGTGAGGGGCTGGAGTGCAAATAACGACGACAGATACTGTGCTGCATCCTTGTACTGAGCAATGTGTTAGCTGCCTGTCATGGTGGTACTAGTATTAGGACAACAACCCGAGGCTGTCTGCATCACTGATTGATTCGGTATCAGGCACACAGTCATGGTCGCCTTGATGAGATCATACAGTCATATCATGACTCGTATGACATCATGTCACCATGGTAACCATGTGCTGCAAGATGGCTCCAGAGCCAATGCTACTGGCGAGAGACTTCTGCTGTGCACGTGCTAGTGGCCCGGGCGATGCATATCCAAACTGTAGGCACATTCTCGAGAACGGGTACACAATCCTTCGGTAGGTCTCAGGCAGCTGAGGAGAAAATAAACATGTTCTCAG